GGGGCTTAACTTTGAAAGTAAAAGAGTTGGAGACTTCCGGTTTTTTGTAACATGTTCCTCTTTTAAAAGTAACGTTACCTCTCCAGGAGGAAAATTCAAGACACCGTAATTGTTGAGTTATCTCAAAATCTCCAGAAAAGTCCCCTTTCGGGCCGATCAAAAGTTTGCAACTTTAACTTTGCGGATTCCTGTACTCTGGTTGGCTGAATTGTGTCACGTGGTAGCTGCCTGAACATTGGAATCCGCCACGCGTGCAAATCATGCTTGTTGTTGCGCGCGAGGTCAAGCCGTCTGTTTAAATTAAACCAACTCTAGTACCACCACCAGCCGGTAACTTTTCCTGGGTGCGAAGTAACCAATTAGGGCTATTAAATGCCGAACACAAGGATATTTCGTATTCGGATCATATGCCTGCAGGCTGTCTGTCGCTTAAGACCATGGTCGCTCTTAACTGAGCGATAAGTGACGTTAAGTGAGACCGTGAGCATCACTTCTTGCCAATTTGCTTTTGAATTACCTACGGCTCAATCATGAAGTTAAACAGTACAAGTTGTGTTTTAACGGCAAAATACAGCGAATTCTAGCCCTCGAAAGTTGTAGGTTTGGAAGATCAATACGGCTGCTTTAATTCATAAAAGTCTTAAGTTAGAACGGCCAAAACACCCTACTCGGCGTCAGCTAGCTGCACCCAGGAACCCTGACCGGATGGGGCTTAACTTTGAAAGTAAAAGAGTTGGAGACTTCCGGTTTTTTGTAACATGTTCCTCTTTTAAAAGTAACGTTACCTCTCCAGGAGGAAAATTCAAGACACCGTAATTGTTGAGTTATCTCAAAATCTCCAGAAAAGTCCCCTTTCGGGCCGATCAAAAGTTTGCAACTTTAACTTTGCGGATTCCTGTACTCTGGTTGGCTGAATTGTGTCACGTGGTAGCTGCCTGAACATTGGAATCCGCCACGCGTGCAAATCATGCTTGTTGTTGCGCGCGAGGTCAAGCCGTCTGTTTAAATTAAACCAACTCTAGTACCACCACCAGCCGGTAACTTTTCCTGGGTGCGAAGTAACCAATTAGGGCTATTAAATGCCGAACACAAGGATATTTCGTATTCGGATCATATGCCTGCAGGCTGTCTGTCGCTTAAGACCATGGTCGCTCTTAACTGAGCGATAAGTGACGTTAAGTGAGACCGTGAGCATCACTTCTTGCCAATTTGCTTTTGAATTACCTACGGCTCAATCATGAAGTTAAACAGTACAAGTTGTGTTTTAACGGCAAAATACAGCGAATTCTAGCCCTCGAAAGTTGTAGGTTTGGAAGATCAATACGGCTGCTTTAATTCATAAAAGTCTTAAGTTAGAACGGCCAAAACACCCTACTCGGCGTCAGCTAGCTGCACCCAGGAACCCTGACCGGATGGGGCTTAACTTTGAAAGTAAAAGAGTTGGAGACTTCCGGTTTTTTGTAACATGTTCCTCTTTTAAAAGTAACGTTACCTCTCCAGGAGGAAAATTCAAGACACCGTAATTGTTGAGTTATCTCAAAATCTCCAGAAAAGTCCCCTTTCGGGCCGATCAAAAGTTTGCAACTTTAACTTTGCGGATTCCTGTACTCTGGTTGGCTGAATTGTGTCACGTGGTAGCTGCCTGAACATTGGAATCCGCCACGCGTGCAAATCATGCTTGTTGTTGCGCGCGAGGTCAAGCCGTCTGTTTAAATTAAACCAACTCTAGTACCACCACCAGCCGGTAACTTTTCCTGGGTTAGCTTTATTGACGGATTCCGATTATCAATAATAGTAATACACCATATATATTATATAATAGTCATACACGTCTAAATTTTTTCGAACATCGATGACGCGCGCGCTTTATTTTTGAAATATTACCCTGGAAAAGCTTTGCGAAGTCAAAAGTAACGAGCGCCGGGTTATTTTTTATAGTAACTATGGACAAATATTTGGCAAATAGTGCGATTCCGCACCTTTTGGCAAACCTAAATTAGAAACAGAAACACCGTAATTTGTAATTTAGCTGAACGATTCTCCAAATTTTGCTGCCTTAATTCGGTTGGATTAATACATTAAACAGCGTAGTATAACTATATTAATATAGCGTTGCATTACACGACTTAACTGTTGAGTTTAGCACAACAAATAATTTACAGGATCAATGTTTTACGCTGAGTGTCCTGACAATTCAAAATGTATCTAGAATTACCCTCATGTAATTGTATAGTAATAGAAAATTTTACAATTAAATGGGTAGGACATCAGTTGGGGCTAGTTGAGCTGGTAATGGGCATAATTGATGCAGAGTATTCAATATTATGATTTACAATATTAGATTCCAACACTATGTGTGTAAAACTATAAGCTACAGTGCCATGCATTAAATGTAAAAAATATGCATAACAGAGCCTATTATAATATTATGTATTTGATGTTGCCACTTGCCATGAGGTTGCAAGTATCTATTCATCGCAGCCTGTTAGTTTTACTGCGATCCAGATTGAGTTGCCAAGATTCATCCTCTTTTGTTTTTCTGAATTATCGATAGTATTACTCACAATCTGATAATAATAATATCCATCGATAATGAACTTTCTGGGAATACTTTTTTGAGGAAAAATCGTTCTAAAATATGTTTTTTCCCTGATTTTCAAACAAGGTTTTGATGTTACGTCATGAAAAAGTGTTGACCCTAATCATAGTTATGGACATGTCAATCTTTTTTATTGTCCAGAGCAGTACCAAGGCCAAGTGTATAACTATAAATCTGATAGAACGAATATCGGTCGATGGTGCGGAAAAGTGCGGAATTGGGTCAATAGTATGACTGTGATTCCGCACCCACCGCACTTACTGTTATATGTTGTCTCTGACTATGAATGGAAAAATATTACCAGTATCTAAGAAGAGAAGTACATACGATTCGTACCTTTGAAAATGGCTGTACAGTACGTACCTTTATTTTTAAAACTGCAACTGAGCCATAAGGTATAATTATAAAAAAAGCCACAATTTAGCAAATTTTTTGAATTCGCGGCGAGTTAAAAATTATTTGCTGTTCTGAAATGTTTACTCTGATCCAAAATTATTTAACTGCCATGACGCTGGCAGTCGACACTCGACAGCATTTGTTTAATCACGAGATTACGAAATAAGCTTTGTCAACTTTTAGTTTTATGCAGCATACGTTCGTATTCAGCAACTTAGATAAAATACAAAATTAAAATGTTTCCCATTTTTGTACCGCGCAATAGGAAAGGTACAGTACGTAACTTTGGGAAAGGTTCAACCGTACCTACTTAAGGCCGGGTACCGTACGTACTTCTCATCTTACTCTTTAGATCAGTATTACCAATATTAATAAGCTTATCATCTAGTCAGATTTTGATCTTTCCAGTGATCATTCTTCATAAAATTATAGATAAGATGATTGAACTGATTCATGTTACTTAGCTTGCTAGTCTCTTGCTGGCTTCTCTCACGTATGCTGAAGCAGAAGAAGCTTGAAAAGAGCGCCGCATATGATACTAATAGGGACTGGCTTGTCAGGTAATTATTTATGCAAATATGGTTAGCTTATCACGCAAGGTAGGCCAACCCAGTGACTCATAGTGCGACCGCTTGATACGGAAAAGACCAAATTAGTGCCGATAGGGTTTAATAATAATAGCTTTTAAGATCTCGCGCTTCGGCTTGGTAGTATGGTAAAATACGAATGAATCTGTAGGTACTGAAGCAGCATCGAGTAAGTTTTTTAAATGTAGAGCATTTTGTTAATATGTAACGATCTCTTTAATCGTTGAATGTAATCCTATTCCTACAGAGCTCATGCATTATACATATTTATATGTCCTATTGTATTTCATTTCAACTAAATGACCGCGCCTGAGGAGCAAGGAGTTTACTACATAGCCACTAATAACCATATCAAATATGATCCGTCTTCGGTTTTATTGTATCATGAGTGTCAATTGCAGGGTTATTTTCCTGCTTTGAAAATGACTTTGTTACTAAATCGATATAAATATGATTGCCACTTAGTTCAGATCTAATCCTACTCCTGCTTATTGCATTTTCTCTGCATCGCAATTTTTTTTATCTCTTCGTTAAATACTAACCATTTCTTTATCAATGTCAGCGGTAGATGTTCTGCGGTAGTTGCATGCAATATTGCACATGTTAGTTAGTCAGCGGTAGTTTGTTTTACCTCAAAATTAATAAAAATAAAATTGTTCGGCAAACTCTTTTCTTCGTTATTTGCCGATTTAATTCTTTACCAAGTTAACTTAATCTGCTTATTTTTGTTTGATTTGTTGGGAAAAGGAAGCTGCTCATAATAAGTAGCTGGCTACCGAGCAGCTCGGACCACTGTTGTAACTTACTAGCAGCAATATACCCAGCAATGTTAGACGTATACTTATTGTAGCTAACAACTATCAGTATTACAGTGTAAGGGAGTATGTACGGGGGAGCCCACACAATTGAGGGGGAACCCACACAACCCTCCCAGTACCCTGGAACTGAAGAGTTGACCTGTCACTACTTTAAGCGTTGTTGTTACCGCTCGGTATGTTTAGTTAACACGATATATCTACTTCGTTTGTTGTTGAAAGGTTGATACGTTTCGTTTCTTAGCTCGTATGTTCCCGGTTGCTATTCCTGTGTATCGCAATTGTGAATTATGATAATTGTGAATTGTCTTTTACCTCAAATTTACCTCAATGTTTACCTCAATATTAAACTTGAAAACACATTCTCATCACTTCAACACCTCACTGATAAAACGACTAAAAACGACCCCGACACGACACTACACGGGTTTCAAAATCCAATAAATTTGGACGGTTTCATTCCTCGACACGGAGGATGGATTAAATTTTATTACGACTTAACAGTCGAACATCATATCCTTTTGAAAGAAGCAAATAAATGTTTTAAATGTACCAGATATTTAAAAAAAACAGCGGAATATTTTTCCTTAACAGCAAAATCAGGACGGAGAAAGAAAACCGAGTTTGAACAAGAAGATGAGCAAAAACTCGGTGAGCAAGAGCAACGAACACATACCTGACAACAAGGTCGCAGATTCAGACGTTTAGCACTGTTGTTATAATATCGCCTATAAAATTTATACGTGTTACCGTGCTTTGTGATGACATATGTGAGAGAGTATTTGAAATATATTTACCTGAGAAGATGTTGAATAGCTAAGATATCTCGGTTGTATGTTCATATTATTTCATATCATATGTTTAGTCTGCAGCTTCATTCCGGCTCAGATAGTTCAATATTTTAGTTTGATGTTAGATCGAATGTGTTCGAATTTGAATCTTATATGTATGGATGATATTTATGGTTTCTTAAAGGAAAAATGATAAAATTTACCATGGCATAAGTTTATCATGATGTAGTTTAACTTTATGTGTTAGTTTATCATACTGTATTTCATGACACGCGCATGAAACAATGGTTCAGTTTTTCTCAAAAATTTCAGAGTTGATTTTTGCTTAAATAGGGATGCGATTTGCTTGTACCAGGCAGGTGCTGACTTATAGTTTTCCTTTAGTTATCCTGTGGTTTGTTGAGAAGGGAGAAGAATCAATGAACTCGTTTTCTTCAAAGTTTTGGGCCGCAGCTGAAGCTACTTTAGTTTCATTTTATGCCAAAATTTGCATAAAATACCTACAAGGAATAAGTGCGTTACCTGTTAAATGGCGTGGCTTTGGGATGCACAAAAAGTTTGCAGAAATCAGAAGACAGGCTCAAACTAATCATAGTGATAACCAATAATCCTTTTTTGCATCCTTTTACAGATTTGGATCGTTTGTCATTTCCTTATCGGTTATGATTCACACTGTGCACTTAAACTGCCAAAACGTGCATAATTAAACAGTGCATCTTCTTAGCCGTACGAAAATTTGACTGTGCACAATTCAATTATAAAATGATGAAATAATTAATGCTGCCATTGCTTTAATCTTTCTAAATCAATTTGGAAAGATTTAAAAAGTTAAATATACAAAATAAAGCGTCAATTAGTCATGGTCAGGTCATGACGTGAAATTCATTCTCTCGGTGCTTTGCTACAATGTGCCTCCCGGGAAATTCAAATAATATTTATGGTGAACAAAAGCGTGCTCATATTCAGCCGTACCGCGTGAATCGTATTCGTAACCAATAAGATATGCCTTTACTTGCAGTTGTGTTGATTTAAAGCCTGGTATAATTATATATTTTAACTAATGAGCCAGTTATGGGGCGGAGAACTTTGTGTTGTTAAATGAATCGCTTAAGTAAGTAATTACAGCCGCTTCGTTTAGTTGTCCTTTTAGAAAATCTTAGAAAAAATGGCAATTACACTTATATATTACAGATGATAACTGCACAATTGCTTTTGGGTATAACCCCGTAAATCTATGTGTTTGAATTGTTGAGTTACCAGCTTTAATTTATTTTATAAATTTTATTATTACAACAAAGATAAAAGTACATCCTCTTTTTAAAAGTAAAATAGAGAAACACAGCTACGAACACAATGTACATAGACACAAAACTTATCGAAAAAGCATTTCTAAACAAATACCAATTAAATTAGCAACACATATATAACTTCAACTATAATAATCCATGTTTAGTAGTCAACAAATAATTAAATGGGGGCATTAAAAGATATCAAATATTAACGAAACGTCGAACAACAACTGCTCATTATGAATAAACAAAAAAGAATTGCGTAATATAATCGTGTGCAAAGTGGAGGCTACATTTCCATCATCTGCTAACTTCCTCTATAAATAGCATTAGCAAGTTTTATTGATTTTGTTGCTTTTCTGTCTGCGTTGCATTAACCTACTGCATGGAAAGGCAGTACTATTCGCTATACATGCACCAGTCGTTAAGCAATGCAGGACCAAGGAAACCAAAGGCTTTGAAAAGTAGTGTGCTCTAACAGGTAGCCGTATAAAACCATGGAAAAACTATAAATTAACCAGGCCCCTTTTTTCACGCTAAGGTATTCAGCGCCACAAACTAAAGTCAAAATATAATAAAGACCGTGGAAATACAATTACACACCCCTGCCGGCCAACCAGAAGCCTCACTCAAATACCGGGCATACTTATAGGTACGTGAATTTCTTTTGTAGAGTGAAAATAATGTGATTAAAAGAAGTCTGATCTACGGTGCGCTGTACACATTTAACCAAGATCTGGTAGTGGTATTCAAAAAATAAAAATCGACAACAGATCATGTCATCATGACGATCCCCATCTTCCAGAACTCTCCTTTCCCAGTTAGTTAGTTTGTCAGTATTTGTCTAATAAGCATTGAAAAATGCAACTACATAGTTATAATTCCCTGATCACTGCCGTGAAATAAAGGAGCAATGCAATGTTACGAACCTAGTTTTACTGGTAGACTGCTAAACTGGCAGTTTATTACGCTAACACCACTGAAGTTGAAGCCCAGTTGGCCACCAGATCTTAATCATTAGATTCTAGAACTTGCAGAACGACAGATAATTTAAACGTTAAAGTTTTATTAAGCAACAGTCCGCTGGTAGCCATGGTTATAAGTTTACGGCCACCGTTGGTAGTTCATTCTTGTTGGTTGCTATTGCTATGGTTTCCGTCCTCTCCGTTTGGTCCTCGTCCCCTGGTGGGCATGTTATTTTGTTCAGAATTTTGAGAGCGTTCTGGAGCTCCTCACTAGTGGCATCCTCTTGTCTCTGCTCCACCCAATATTTCAACATCGCAGTAACTTGGCTCTCTGAATCTGACGTACTGAGCACCTGAAGAGCAGACCGTTATAACTTTATAATATATCTTCACATTCTCCCTCTCTGTCATTTCAGAGTACTGGCCTTTTTAATTTCACATTCAATCATGACGTTGGAATATACGTGTTCAATTTGTCGATGAGATTCAAGAACAGAAAATTAATCGAAGATATCTGTATCTTCGATTATAATTGTCTTGAATCTCATCGACAAATTGTACAAGTACTCCAATTTCATGATCACGTATTCATGATCACGTACTCCAACTTCGCAATCGCATCTCGTACATCATGACATCGTAGTAACTCTTTACGATTGTGAACTATGGATGTGATACTCACTGAGAACTTGGTAAATTCGTCCTCCACGATGCCGAGAATGTTAGCTAGAAGGGTCCAGTGCTCGCTGACCGTGGCAGCTACTAACTGGATCTCACTCTCAGATACCTGGGTCGGCTGCACGTGGGCGTCTGGGGGTAAAACTTGTTACTTTGTTATTGTTTAACTGTCATGTTTGTTTTATTGCCATCAATGCGAAGGCTTCTCGCATGTTTTATTTATCTGAGAGGAAAAAAATTTGATGTTAAAATCAGAGCACTCACTTTTAGGAGGATAAAGTAGCTTGAGGTGAACTCTAACTGCTCCTCTGGCCACAGGACACGCAATCTTGACGATCTCAGGTAGGCGGTTTATGTTGGCTTTGTACCACTCGCCGAGAAAGTGAAACGGTTCGGTCTCATTAGCGAGGAAACAGTGGGGACATACCAAGTACCGGTAGAAGAGTAAACCTTGCCACTGTGACAACAGTTCTTCTATCTGAAACATCAACATGGTTAGCACTGAGCAGTAGTTGCTTTATAATTAACTAGAAAGCGCGTGATTCGGAATCAGCGTTCAAAAATTTAAATACACCGATTCAGATTACTTTCATATCCTCAGGGCCTTTTCACAAGATTTAAAAAAAAATGAGGCGAGCGATTTAGTCATAGTGGGAGCGGCCGGGTACCAGTCCCTCCGCGAGAGCCCGCAGGGCTTGTCTTGGTCTGATCCTGCCCGTGCACGCTTCAACGTTCTTGTGTGTAATGTCATATTTTTCAAATAAAAATAGATTTGACAAAAAAAAAACAATTTATGAAATCATTTCATTTTAAGTTTCATTAAATGGTAATAATCTTCATAGAAGGATCCTGACCGACTGCACTTCAGTGTAAACCCTCCCGTTGGTCGCTGTAATGATCTGGGAAATTCTTCTTGTATCATAATTATTCCACGGGTAAATCTTCCATTGTCCTGATTGTACCTCAACTGAAGCCTTACTCTCGAACCCTAGATCAGCGAAGTGTGGCGTGTTTCCGTACAAGACTCTTTTGTGTCCTGCTCCGTCGTATATCGTGATTTGTCCCTTTCTGAAGCACTTCTTGCTACCTGTTGCCTTGGTGTCGAAGCAGCATCCCTTAGATTTGCAGCTACTCTCTGACAGCAAGTTGTTGTGGATGCACGGAGTACGATCTGCAGGGTGGGTGTCAGAACACACATCCTAGTGAGTGTTAGGTTTCCAATCAATGTTCATTCTATAAGCAGACACAGCGCACAGGTTACGTTGGATGCAGTCGAAGAAACCATATCCCCCTCGTCCCCATAGGTATCCCCAACTGTTCTTGATCTTGAAGAAATCAATTCCGTACCCACAGACCACAACTGCATGGTTAGGGGTGGGGTCCACGCGTTTAATTGGAAACATATGTTATAGAGATGTAGGTATAATCAGGGCATTGCTGGCTTGGTAAAAACCTAGCTATACGACTTACGAGTCATAATGCTTTCGGCTTTGAGTGACCGATTAGGTTTTAAATGGCAGTTTATCATTATGTCCTGACTAGACTGCATTTTCGTGATGTGCAATATGACAACTTCTGTACTAATTTATAGACGCCAATTGTCGAGTACCTATAATAACCTGTAGGTACGTAATGCAATCTGTCTATATCATAACCACTAAATGCTTATAGCCTCCAAATTTTGAGCTTACAGTGTAGTTATATAGTCATTTCGATATTTCAGTGGCAAGTTTTCAAAAGGTGTTCGCCGAATAGTTATGATAGAACCAGACAGTAGGATGTACAAACTACAAAGCATATTAACTTGTGACGCAGTATCTGTCATGCACATAAACGGTGCGTGATGCAGTGTTTAATCCTAATTATAGGGTAGGTAAAGCACTATAGTGCAAAGAAACTGCTGCTAACCGCTGCTCACTGCTGCTCACTGCTGCTCACTGCTGCTCACTGCTGCTCACTGCTGCTAACTGCTGCTGTCGCGCGCGCGCCCATATGCCATAGCAGCAGTGAGCAGCAGTTATAAGCAGCAGTTTCTTTGCACTATAGTCCTCCTGTGAACGGGGTAACAGTGGTACGGTGTTTACTCCTAATAAGTAATTATAGTTGTCAATTATAGTTTTACTAGAATGTTTTTTCATTCAACATTTAAAAAAAGTAACCTCCCTCCCCCCTCATAATAAGGTGCCGCGCAACCACATATCGGGGTCTGAGGGGGCAGTCGTCATGCCACTGCTAGTCCCGTCGTATGATGACGTTTATTTTGATTATAAAATATAAAGTTTGTCAAAATTTAAATTTGAATCCTTAAATGGCATTCCGGTAATTCGAAACGTCGGCGACCAGTTGACAATGACGGTAGTAAAGTTAAAAGGAAAGAGGGCGTTCGCCCGTAACTCTCTAAGGATTCCTAGTATAACTGCAAATCTTATTTTTTTACTAAGGTCAACTGTTTTGTTGACCATAATTCAGCTTTCCGTGCTATTTATAAACTTATAATTTTGTTTGTCAGCATTATCAGTTCTAACTAAACGTTTTCTAGACCCCACAAGACTGGTTATGCCTACGTAAGGGCGGGAATCATAACAAATATATGCTAATGGTTACTTTAAGGTAATTAGTTTACTGTCGATAAGTTTTATATTGATAGTCACCTCGTTCAAAAATGCTAAGAGCATTCGCCACAGTGGAAGAAGTTTATCTTTGACAGATCTAGTGCAAATTGTTAAACAGTTCCCGCCTGAAAGAGAGTTAAAGAGTTAGGAAGGTCCTGCATATGGTAATGGTTGGCTTAAATGGCAGCTGAAGAACGTACGTGGTGGACCATAATACAAAAATAAAGTTTAAGTAGGTCACGTGATAGTTCAGCTAACGGAATTATTTTTGGGCTGCACAATAATCATCAACACAATGCGCGTTTCAACTTTGCTCTGATGCATTTCAGAAAATAGTTTTACACACTACAACAAGCATGATCTAAGTGAAGACCTAAGGGGTCGTTCACATATTACGTAATCAACCGAGGGGGAGGGAGGCTTTCCAAATGATTACGCTAGTGTAGTTTTGACACAATAGCTATTAACTATGTGTAAAATCGATTACGGAGGGAGGAAAAGGGTTTAAAATTGTCCAAAAAGTGATAACTTAATATGCGAACGGCCCCTAAGTAAGTGTGTACCTGAGTCATCGGTGCTGTTGAGACAGACGATGGAGACACCGTGTTTCTCGGCCCAGAGACAGGTTGTGCTGTGGTAGTGGTACTGTGTACAGTGTCTCCTGCACCTCACTGTTATTCTACCAAACAGACCTGTGGGTGTAATGGGCATCTTGTTATGACATAAGTTATACCTTCATAATTAATATACCAAAATTAGAGGGCTATTGCCTATTAGAAAACCTGATGTTTAATGACCACTTTCCAATTTATGTTCCTAACTTAGCAGTGAAATAAACTTATTAACACAAGAAAACTCTCGAATTAAGACTGACCTTTGGGCATATTATGAGGAAAAACAAACTTCATGATGATCTGGTACTCGTTGGAAGGTAGATTATGATACTGCACCTCATTCCCGGACACCGTGGAAATTCCTTTTAGCACTGCTACTTTCTCAACCGCTAGCTCAGAAGTTACGTCTCTCATAAGGGTAGGAATCACATAACCACCCTGTTCAGCGTACCACAGTCCAAAGGAAGTAGCCAGAGTCTGGAGTAGCGAGTACTGGTCCTGATCCAGATTAAACTCGTCCCAGAGGGTCATCATCTTATCTCGCGGCATCCTGGCAGGGCTGGTGTCACCAATAATATCAAATTATAATTACAATATGTGATTATCAGCAATGATTATCTTACCTACTACCCCCTCCTCGGGTATTATTGTAATAATCTTATGCCGACCATTCTTTCAATGTATAATCAAAGGTACTTCATTTATATTAAAGGGCTACAACCACAAAAATAACAGACTTTTGATTGAAAACTATACCCGATTTTTAGATTGTCCAATACATTATAAAATTGAAACTTAAAGCTGCAATCTTTTTTACACTGGCCATAGAGTTAATAAAAACACTTAATCAGGCCATCAAGTAGGACCTTCTGGTTGGGTTTAATTTATTGCATTTTAAATGACCATCTTTGATTAAACGGGCTGCCAGAAATTTTGGACATTTGTCACCCAATTGTTATATTATTTTTTACAGAAATTTCTGGAGCCGTTTGTAGGAACTTGTGTAGATCCTCGGGGAAGTCACTCATTTCATTAGGTGGATGCTCGGGTAAGTCACTCATTTCTTTAGGCGGATGCTCGGGTAAGTCACTAATTTCTTTAGGCGGATACTCGGGTAAGTCACTAATTTCTTTAGGCGGATGCTCGGGTAAGTCACTAATTTCTTTAGGCGGATGCTTGGGTAAGTCACTCATTTCTTTAGGCGGGTGCTCGGGTAAGTCACTAATTTCTTTAGGCGGATGCTCGGGTAAGTCACTAATTTCTTTAGGCGGATGCTCGGGTAAGTCATTCATTTCTTTAGGTGGATGCTCGGGTAAGTCACTCATTTCTTTAGGCGGATGCTCGGGTAAGTCACTTATTTCTTTAGGCGGATACTCGGGTAAGTCACTCATTTCTTTAGGCGGATGCTCGGGTAAGTCACTCATTTCTTTAGGCGGATACTCGGGTAAGTCACTCATTTCTTTAAGCGGATACTAGGGTAAGTCACTCATTTCTTTAAGCGGATACTCGGATCATGCTCGAATCCAAAGCATTGCACCGATGCGAACCCTTGGTTTAGTAGTTTAATTTTCGACTTTATTTCTTGCGTAATTTTGTGAAATGTGAAACTATCGCAGACAGCTTCCTCTTTGTGACTGTGAGTTTTACCCTGTCAAAGGAAGTGAACAAGCGTGGCGAGACCTATTAAATCATCTACATTACAAGACATATTTATGTTCGACATAATTCCGGTGACGTGAATGATTTGGTAGTCCGAAAATATGGTTTTTTTTTTCGAAAAACCACAGACTTTCGTACCATTTATATAATATGTCTCGTAAGGTACCTATCAAATCTTCTGAACAAAATCACGTCATGTCAAAATGAATAGTTCAACTCTCCACTTGACTAATGACTTAGTGTATTGGTTGGGCAATTTTTGACAATTAAAGAGCTCTTCGATAAAACATTACGAAATATTATTTATAGACATTTTTCAGTAAATCACAGGTTTTAAACGGATATCTTCTTTTTTTAATCCCTAGTTTGCTGCTCATCCAACCTCGAAACTCTTCCGTGGCCCTGATCATACGACGGAAGTTCGTTTTAACTTTTTAAGTAAGAGTCGGATTTATGTTCCGAATTGTGCAAACATTTTTAACGTGACGATCGTCTCTCAAATCTCATATTTCTTGAGAATTTCGGGCCTTAATTGTGCGGTTCTTTTGCCTTATAAGGTTCTTTATAACTGGGGCCTCACGTTAATTATAACTGTGGAAACTTCGTTCTCAAATATCAAACTTCAAAATAACATTCAACCTGAGTCGTTATGTCACCAATGATTTTAAGCACTTATTGTCCAAGAAGTCACAGATTTGCGCGCTACCACCATTAGTCATTACCAAGTACCACCCAGCAAGAGCTATTTCATAACTTTATCACGCTAGAACGCGAACGGAAGGGCTATAAATTCAAGCAGGCCTCTCTGTTATTGGTAGTGGCTTTACAAAGCTGTACATCTTGTTCGTTTTGACTTGTTCTCATGAATGTTATATTTGGTTGTATCACGTCGCGATACTTCGTGTTTATTTACCACATCGTGGTCGCACTTGGAGGACTTCGCCGCTTCGACGCGCCGCGCGAACTAGCATTCTTGCTTCGCATCGATCGTCGTAGATCGTTGCTCTGCTTCGCAGAGCAACGATCTCGACGGATTGACATCGTCAATCAAGGTCGCACTTGTGCAGCAGCAGGGGCTAAAGCGTGGAGAAAGTATTTGGCTGTCCTACAAACACCACTCAATTTTTTCGTTGTTTGATAATTTATCAAGAATTAAGTGAGCGCGAGCTACACTCCCGTTAATTGGATTATTATTTTATTAATCTTACGGTAAAATTAGTAAGAAAAAAGATTAACGCTATAATAAGCCAATAAATCTTATCTTCGGAAAATAAACTGAACGGTTAAAAATGTACACGTAATTGCCAATATGGGTTCACAGCAACTCACACTGAAGCTAATAAAGAATTGACAACTATAATTGCTAGTTAATAAGTGAGAACGTACTTGCTACCAGGTAGGGGACCAGTATCCAGTGTGCTCTGTAAGTCTGGGCTGATAACACATTTGATAACGTCTATAAGCCATGTGGGAGACACGAACACGTAGTCCTTCAGACCTGGTATCCCAACAAAATGTAGTACTTCTCCCGTCATGTGCAGGTATAACAGAGCTTCCAGGATATCTTTATCTTTAAAGTGGGGGTCCTGATAAGGGTTATACTGAGGGGTCATTGTGAGGGAGAAATGTGAGGGGGAACTGTGAGGGGTCACTGTGTAGGGTCACTGTGAGGAGTCACTGCTTCAATGTGAGGGAGAAATGTGAAGGGTCACTGTGAGGGGTCAGTGTGATTCATCACTGTGAGAGAAACACTGTACGGGAGCCACTGTGAGGGGTCAATGTGAGGAGTCACTGTGAGGGAAACACTGTGGAGTGTGCGGGTTCACTGTTCATTGTCGTAAATTCTATTATCGCTATAGACTTACAGTCATCACTGACTTACCAATGACGCTTGCTTCTCACCCTCGAAAATAAATGTTCATAGTTTCACTACCGATTCTTACTCACGGTTTAAAAAGCGGAGATTGGTATGTAACTAACCTTCTCCTGAGCTATATCTATTAAGTTTTGAAGAGGTATAACAGGAACGAGGGACCTCTCCTTCAAGGTCTTTACCTCCGCTTCTAAGTCTAACCACGATCGGGGCAGAAACAGTTCAACAGTCGGGTACCGCTTCTTATCCTGGATAAAGAACCTTTAATAGCTTATTTAGAGTCCTCCTCAGTTGTTGTTAAACTATTCAAATAATTCAAATTAAAACTAACAATGCTGAATGCTTATAGGAATCGACCGGATCAGATTTTTCCAGCCGAACCGGTTATAAATTTTGAAACTTAAAACGGTTCTTTTCAACATACTTTTTAGAACTGGATTGCACAGCATTCGTTTTTTTATAAAACAGATCTGCAACGAATTCTCAAGAAACATGTTTCATTTAAATAACATGGCAGGTATTTTAGGGAGTGGGTCATTAGAGCGTGGTATAATCATCTGTTTTTAATCATATGATGCTGATCAAGCAAGTAATGGAACGTAAACCAGTGACCAAGTACAGATTACTTTTATATAAGGACTCAAATACTGATTGGTTTGAATCCCGTTCATTTTATACCATATTTGGCCGTTTAATGTCCAGTATTTTGGTAGACAAATATCCGGTATTTTGGTAGAAACCGGACAAGATTAAAATCATCAATTAACCGACTGGATTCGGATATCCGACCTTATTTAGGTCATTAGTTTATCATTATAAGCAGAATTTTGGTATGCTGACATTATAAAAAACAAACCTGTGTTAATTTGAATAAGATGCGCCTGAAGTCCTTGATACCTTCCATTTCATTTATACCGCATACTTTGGGTACATTGGACAGGAACTTGGGCTGATTTACCTTCACTTTCTTTATATAATCAACAACGTCGTTAACTAGGAAATAGTTTCAGTTAAATAATTGATGAATTGTCAACCTGATTCGTAAAATATTATCAGCTAAAAATAAAAAACATTGCTGAAATCAAAATAATATCTTCATTTTTCAAGAGACGAGATAGTTTAACGATAATCGGTATACAAAAGTTTGCAAGACCTCGTATCCACAGTCTTAAAAAATAGGAACCGGACACGAGGACGTAGAACACGAGGGTCGAACTTTCCTAAGTGGGTGTTCACATTTATAAGCGTCAACCTACTTGTATACTTATAAATTAATATCTTTAGCTGTTAACATATTATATAGCCAACTGCAAAATACGAGCGCAGCCACTTCCATGTAAACCGGACAAACAACTACTTGGACTCCTGGAACAAGAAGTTCTCCCTTACTCCGCTCTCCTTGGACAGGAAAACTCCCAATATGCAACTTCCTAGCAGCAGTTCGTCTGTCCTTGTCACTACCGTCTATTAGTATTACCGTATATATCGGCCTTCTTAATTTCTTATTTTTAGGTGGCTGCTCTCCGCACAAGTATACTGATATTACCCCATCTGCTGAGTGTTGAGCTCTGCTCGTGTTCTCCGCACAAGTATACTGATATCACCCTATCTGCTGAGTGTTGAGCTCTGCTCGTGTTCTCCGCTCTTGTGTTTATCGCCCTTGTTTCCGCCGCCCCTGTGTCCTATACCCTTTAAAAATGGAAACTTACCAGGATCTTCAGTAGCAGAAGGGGAGAGAGGGCTAGGGGCAGAGTATGGTTCTACCTCACTATGATTATGGGACTTTTGGTAGCGTTGAAATAACTCTGCCATATCCCTCGCTTTAGTTATCCTTTGAATTATTAGGTAAGTGAGAGTAAGATAAAGGTCAGTCAGAGAATATTCTTCAAAAATTCAAGAGTTTAAAATGGTGATATTATATTGTTTATTGACAATAAGACCAATTAATCATTATTTGTATGTGCATTGTAGAAGAAGAGGACCTTTACTGATAGTTGAAATTCGACATATGACGTCATCTAGCGTCATCTAGCGTCATCTAGCGTGAAATATCGCCAGATGATGATAGATGACGCTAGATGACGCTAGATGACGCCAATTAGCGACATTGTCGCTAAGTGCACGGCACCTTTCGAATGTCGCTATCTAGCGCTATCTAGCGCTATCTAGCGCTATCTAGCGCTATATGACGCTATATGACGCTATATGACGCTAGATGACGCTAGATGACGCTAGATGACGCTAAGCACGCAGCACTGACGCCAGGCGACAGATAGCGCTATTTTCATAAAAATTCTAGGGACGACATCTAGCGTCATCTAGCGTCATATGTTGCCGCGACATCTGACGCTATCTGACGCCATCTAGCGATATCTGACGTCATCTGACGACATCTGTCGCGACGACATCTGACGCAGGCGACATCAAGCGCGGGATAGCGGGATAAGTCAGTTTACGACAGTTCACGCTATCTAGCGCTATATAGCGCCAGATAGCGCTATATAGCGTCAGATGTCGTTGCGACATATAGCGCTAGATAGCGTTAGATAGCGCTAAATAGCGTTAGATAGCGCTAAATAGCGTTAGATAGCGCTAAATAGCGAAGAATTTTGGGTCGTGACAGTCCAGGCTATTTAGTGCTAGATGTCGCTATCTAGCGCTATATGTCGCTGCGTCAGATGTCGTCGCTACATATAGCACAAGATATCATATCCTATCACAGTAACAGTAATCCTAACTCTGTGTGTGTGTGTGTGTGTGTGTGTGTGTGTGTGTGTGTGTGTGTGTGTGTGTGTGTGTGTGTGTGTGTGTGTGTGTGTGTGTGTGTGTGTGTGTGTGTGTGTGTGTGTGTGTTTTACTGGGACCGTAAGAGCAGCCTGTCTTTTCCCACCCAATCTTATTTGTTATTTTTATTTTATATGAAAATTAATTTTTACTGTGTATGAAAATTAATTATAATTTAAGTGAGAATGCAAATGATATAACTATAAGCTTGCGCGGCTCGTCGAAGTCACCCAACTATTACACTCGATTTATCAAATATTCGGCTGAGTGGAACAAAATATTAAATATCATTTAATCAAGGGGTCGTTTACATATTATAATTATATAAAGGGCCTGATGCCGCCGGCCGGGGTTTTCCAAATTATTACGCTCGCTAGTGTGATTGTGACATAATACTAATAGCATAATAGCTATGTATGGAACTGATTACTAACAATGAGGGGTCGTTCACATACCCCGTAATCAGTTTTACCATTATAGCTATTATATTTATGTCAATATTACACTAGCGTAATCAATAATCATTTGAAAACCCCAACCTCCTCAGCTGATTACGTAATACTAATATGTAAACGACCGTCGACCCTTAACATTTCGGGATCGGAAGAAAGCGGCACGTACTATTTCGACGAAATTTATACAAGTTACTAACATCGTTGATTCATGATGCCAATCTTTCACAGCTCAGTGGTGCATTTCGCCGAAAAGTATTATTGGATACCGAGAAGCATTTTTGGATGCGCGGCGCGACACACTCACCACTCACAGTAACGCATCGCGCGTTGATTCACGATGTCAATCCTTCACTGTTCATGTTCACAGCTCGGCGAGGCCCAGTCATGGTGCATATCGCCAATTTAGTAACATAGTTGGTCAGTTCGTACAAAAGTCGTAAAAAATTCGTACAGTTCGGCACGTTTTTTCAGTTCGGGATTAGTTTGGGAAAAATTCGCCTCATAAATTTTCGGATGATGATTAATCACTCTACACTCGACTGTCACGTGACTTTTAAAACACGTTCTCTTGGTGGCCCTGAATGACTATTCGAAATCATAGCCCTCTAATCTGATCCCAACCCTAACCCTAACCCAATCTCTAACAAAAGCATATGCTGAAACCCTAACTCTAACGAGAAATTAGACTAACTTCCGTATATGGTCATATCACGTGATCGAGACAGTTTTTCGCCAATATCTCGCTAGGGGAGCATTTTAACCCTATGTCATGGGGGGTGATTCGGAATCAGCGTCCGAAAATACATCGAATGAAGTTGGTCTCAAGTGTCGGGGGGCCTTTTAGAAAAATTTCGAAGATCGACTGTAGAGTGATTTAGCACGCTCGTAAATTTTCGAAATATATAATAAAAAGCTAATTGCAAAAATTTGTGTTAAAATGGCGAGAAACGATGACGTGCGGATGCATGTTAATATTTTAAATCTGAAATGTAACCTCCCGGACAAAAATAACAAATTTTTCGGACTGAAGTGATTACTGATTAAAAAACAAAAATTTTTTTAAAAATTCGGTAAAAATTCCTCGACAGCTTTTTAAAATTTGTACAGTTCGACACCTTTTAAAAGTTCGTACATACAGTAACGTCCCTGCAGTTTCTTTTCGTTTAAATCGTAAATTCGCGCGCAAAAATTTCACCGGCGCGCCTTCCATTAATGATGCATTAGACGCATACATTATAAGCATCGAGTGTGTTTAACGGACGGTCACTTGCGCCGCGCGAAATATGAATAGCATAGCGATCAATTATGTGTCAACACTGAACACTTACAATTTAATATTATATTGTGTTGTAAGATTTTTTTGTATAATGAGCCAATTTATGTTTTAAATTGATGAGTAATAATAGTTTTTGTTATTTGTTATTGACAAATACGCGTTCAATTCAATGTTGTGTGTTGATAAATATGGTAGTAATATGGTTTTAAATATATGACACAAGTATCATTCTTACATTACATTAGAATTATATAAATATATAATTCTGGTTTTGCATCAAAAAGGAAGTAACAAATGTTTTTTCTGCAATCATATTTAGGTTACAAATCACTAAACTGTAAACTGAAAACACAAAGCCACGCGCCGATTTGTACGGCATTTTGTCATTATAACAACCTTTTAAATACCATAAATTATACCCAGTTCATTTTTTTAATAATTAGTATTGAACAATATATAACTTTTGTGAAATAATGATTCGATATTATATTAACTGCAAGTATCATTCGTTAAATTTTAGTCGAAGATTGGTTTTTTATTTTAAGATGTGCGCGTGTTTTGCTTGATTTTACAATCTGCAATCTTGGAATATCCTCCGCATAACTTCGGCTTGGAATTTACAAAAGTGTGCTGCTTGCTGTATAGTAGCAACGAATTTAAAACCTGTTTTGTCAAACAAAAATTTGATTAAATTCATTTTAACTGCGTTTGTTGTTTTTCAATAATTATTTCTATTGACTTGACAAGTCAAAACGTTAGTTTAATATCGGTTTTATGAAAATTTTCAAGTACAGCTACAGGGCCTTTGGAATGACTTTAGATGGTGCAAATTTAAACTATTGCCAGGAACTTCATGTGTTTGGTCAGTTTGGAATGTCAAATTTAAAGTCTTTGCAGCTTCCCTATTTTGATCGTTTTTTGCTCATTAATGTCCAATGACTAAAATCTAGATAAAACGGATTTTAATTTATATTTCATTAGTAAAACAGAGTAATAGTCTGTCGAAAGACTGTTACTCATTGCAATAAAGTTGTAATTCTACTAACGTGTACAAATGGCTCTGTTCTGTAATTTTATTATCTTCAGACCTTGTATGTGTGCAGCTGGTTATGAAAAGTTGAGAACTACATTTAATAAAGATCAATGTGGCAAGAAAACTTAAGTGCTTTTAATTTACTGTAAAACCAATAAATCTTCAATTAGAATGAACACCAGACCGGCACTTCACACGGTGAAAGACAACCTTGGCATTCATCAGCAGATAACATGCATCAGCAGATAACCCTTACTCTTCAGATTATTTGATAATCATGAGGTATTTACTAATCACTTATAACTTATAATTATAATTCGTAAGTTCGTTTATACTTCGATCTATGAAAAGCTCTGTTACTACTTTCATAAAAATTTGCTTTTAAACCTTACTTAAAGTTGGCACATGATATCATAAATATTGGTTAATTTGTAATTTAACATAAACATAATCTATAGCTATCTGTAATTCTGTATTTAATCCAATATAGTCTTTACAAACTTAAATTCTTGGAAAATGTTGGCATCAGGGAAATGTCAATAAATTAAACTTTTAAGAACAGAGCGCTTTAACAGAGTCAATGAGAACTTATGATAGCTTCATTGATCCAGCTGATCTGCAATACTAATGGACATTTTTTCAGAATGAATACCGACAGGTTTTGCCTTGGAACACTCCTTCATGTGACTTACCTGTTGTTGTTGGTTAGTACTTAGTAATTTTTTGAAATTGCAACTGTACAGTTCATTAGCAGTGTATGTTATGTCGAAAGTTAGTTATTTTTGGTAACTGGAAACAACACAGCAATAGCAGCAAATCTGGGGAAACTTAGTGGACATTGGCTAACTTGTCCAGACTTGCCTTAAATTTCGACAGTGAACCTTGTGATCTCTATCAGTGGTTAATCTTTAGTGGTAATGCCATGAATTTTACAATATATGCAGATAAAATGGTTTATTTTAGGTGGTTAACAATTGGTTAAGATAACACTAATGTGCTAAAAACAGCTGTTAATGTGCGAAAACGTGTATTAAACACATATGGAATCATATTTTAACATTTGAAATAGCCTATTATACCCCATCATACTTAAGCTTGCATCTGCACAGTGGGCACAAGCCCCAAATAACATAGCTTTAGCCGATAAATTGGTAAAAAATCTGCAATTAAAAAAAAATGCCCAAGATGATTTTTTTGTATATTGTAGGGAATACTCTAGGCTTTTAGATGGAGTTATGGAATAGGGCGGCAAATGCCGGCAACACAACTATATTTGGGCTGGA